AAGAGCTGCAAAAACCCTGTAAAATTATAGCTGGTAGGCCAATTCTATGATCAAATAGTTCTACAGGCTACAGTAAAAGTAGAAATTCAAAAGAATCAAAGTCCATCATCATCAATTTCAAGTCAAACATGCATAACAAAAGTAATACCTTGTACTTTGTACTGAGTTTTTCTCGTAGTTGGATTAATGATAGAAACAGATTTCCCAGAGGCAGACTTCTTCCACTCCCCTTCAATGTAGTACTTGAACTCATCTCCATCAGTAATCTCAGCAAAAACTCCACTCCCAGCCATTGCTAATTTAGACACTAAACTGCTTTTCGTCTCAAGACTGATCAACCCTCTTGGAACGGAACAGAACAAAACAGATGAAGAAATTGAGGGAAATTTTTAGCTTCAAAGCTCAGAGAAACAGAATCAGGTTGTTTCTTCTGCTGCCCTGGGAGTAGCTACCTAGCGAGTGATGATCACTGGTGAGTATTTGGGGGTGGGGCCCTTTAAATAGAGGAAAAAGGTTAGCCACATTTGGGCTTCAGGGAATTCTGAGGCATAGATTTCTTGTTCTCTCGGATTTTGACATCAGCTTTTTGGACCAACTGGATCGTGGCAGCTGTGGAGGAAAAGAAAAAAAGAAAAAAGAAAAAGCCAAAGCTTGGTTGATGACTAATCACTTTGATATTCAGCTCCGAGCCGTTGGAAATTAAATGTTAGTTGGCCACGTTTTTACTTGGTGTATCCACCACATGCATTCCATTTTTTTTTTTTGGGTAATAATTTTGGGGATTAATTACTACCATAATGTTCTACACTTACTAGGTTGATATGATATATTGCACAACACGACGTGCAGGTGTTTTCACTTCTTCCATTGGATTCTTTTTTGGTTCTTGTCTATTTCTTTTTTTTTTTTTCTAAATTTATGGTTCTTGTTTTGTTGATTTTACTAGTGTTTGGTTTTGCTGGTTCAATTATGGTGTGAATTAGATAGAATTGTGAAGGTGAAATGGGTTTGTTTGGATTGTGGTTTATTTGTCAAAATATATTTGCTTACATCATCATTACAATTTCCAACGCACTTTTTTATCTTCTCAATTATTTTTTTATCTCACATACATCACATCACAAAAAGTGCTATAGTAAAAATATCTCTAATAATTCACAATCCAAACAAACCCACTGTACTCTGTCGGAATTTGGACCAGACGACCATATTTTGAAACAATCGAAACTAAAATCAGTGGAAGTTGGCCATAAATCTGTGACCAAGAATTTGACAAATACAGATGAAATAGTCTTGTTCTAGGGAGTAATAAGTTGGGTGTTTCGGAGAAGTAAGTGTAAATAAAAAAATCTGAATTCAAATCATCTTACTTATATCTAAAAGAAAAACAAGGTCTGGTTTTGAGTTTCGTCAATTATGAGTTAAAGATTTCAATAATCAAAGAAAGGTGAATAAATGTCAATTTTTAGTGTAAAATCAAAAGAATGCGTGACACCATATGAATCCAATTCAACGAAAGGGTATCATAAGCTTGATATCAATTCCTAATATACAAAGTTTTGAGATGTTTAAGTTGAATTAGTTAAACATTTTTCTCTCAAAATTAAGGATGGAGCCAAAAGTTAAGCATTTTTCTTCATCCAATTGGCTTGATGAAATGCAATTATTTTACATCATTGTTTGCAAAGACCCTTCCAAGTTCCAAAAACCAGAGAAAATCAGAATAATTAAGCAACAAATTTTGGTGAAAAAGATAGAAGAACCTTTTCTGGAGCTCGTGCAAAAAGTGATGGTAGCAAGAACCCTTTTTTTTTTTTTTTTTTTTTCCCTTAGCATGAATCAAGACAAATTTTAAGAACTTTTCCAAATGCCTTTTTTCCCCCATTTTTTGATAACTATGGATGTTCATAAATATGTCAGCAGGAGCAGTCAACGGAAGTTGGAACCGTATACAATTCTTGTCCAGATTATGAATAAAACTACAAAAGCAATTCAATCAAACAAACCCTATCGGTTTCTGCATGTTTCTATATCTTCTATAAACTCCCTGCTACTGGGAATGGGTAATTCAACCATGCTTCTTTTTTCTTTCTCTTTTTTTTTCCAAAGAATAAATGCTGTAACCATTCTGTTTACGAATATTCTTTGTATATACTAGCGTGATGGTTGATCCTCCCCCAGTTTCCATTGCAACGTTTTCAATATGTAACTTTTTCTTCTCAAAAGGAAGAGCTAGTAGAGAGTAGGGAGGCCAAATGGACCATTCTCTGCCAAATCTGTCCTCCTCATTTTGGAGGATGAACTGAAGAAAAAGAACCCTCGAGGAGATTTTCCCCCGTGGTCTTGGGTTTGGAAGGCCAAAACAAAGTCCAAGATTAAACATTTTCTTTGGCTAGCTTGCCAAAACAGACTGCCTTCTAAGCCAGTCCTCCTAGAGAGAAATATCACTGCTGACTCTTCTTGCCCTCGTTGCAGCCATCCCTGTGTAAGATTCAGCGCATGTTCTTAGATATTGCTCCCATGCCTGACCCTTTTGGCAAAGCCTCAGCATTCCTACCTCCATTGGTTGGTCTACTGATCTGGATTTTACATTTTGGCTTAAAAATGGTTGCTTGTCAAAACATATTTCTCCTTTTTATGGAATTCCCTGGGGTACTTTTATTTCTGTTGCCTGCTGGAATCTTTGGATTGCCAGAAACAAGGCTATTTTTGAACACTCTAACCCCTTCTCCATCCTGCACAATACTCTAGTAATGGTGGCTGAATACTCCTTGCTAGGACCTATTCAGAACTTAGCACCCCCTAGAACTGAAGTGCTCATTAATTGGATTCCCCCCAAACCTTCTTATTTCAAAGTCAACACTGACGGTTCCTCCTTAGGGAATTCGGTCCAGCGGGATCAGGTGGCATGATCAGAGATCACCTAGTCCACTGGGTAGCTGGCTTTGGCCGAAAATTAGGCCATGCTACTAATGTCCTTGCCGAACTGTGGGGAACAAGCAAAAGGGTATGCTTAGCTTCCTCTCTCAACTTGCAAAATGTTGAACCAGAAGTTGATGCTACAACTGCTTTGGACTTGCTTAAATCTGCTGATATCTCAACTCATGAGCATGCTTCAATTATCTATGATTTCCAAGTTTTTGATCTCTACTCTACCGAAAGTCACTCTTAGACATGCTTACCGAGAAACTAACAACTGTACAGACAGATTGGTGAAACTGAATTCTCAACAAGAACGCAAAATAGAACTTTCGTATTCTATGAAAGTGTCCCTCCCAATTTAAGAAAACTAGTAAATGAAAATATTAAAGGAATTTACTTGACTCGTTTTGTACCTAATTCCTCTCCTTACCAAAAAATATATATATATATATATTCTGCTAGCATTGTCTCCACTTTCCAGTCAGAGGTACGGAGCAGGTCAATACCAAGCAACAGTACACTTTATTACAGACTTTGATTTACAGATTGAAAATACTCCATAAATTCCAAGCTGCAGTTGCAAATTTAAAATATCCAAGCTATGTCCTCGGCACTATTTTAAGAGAAATTAGTGCCTATATCTGAAGTGTCTTACTAGTTTTAAATGAATTGAGGAACACTTACATTGTACCACTTGCATCTTAATTAACCAATTATTCTTGTACAAAGCTAGAACACTTATCTTGACTACACATGGTGATGACTTATGATACATAAAATAATATGGTTCAATGCTTATAGCAAACATCAATGATTTGAGCTTGTGACAATATAATTGGATGGTCTGCGAATTTAGAGTTTCAAATTGGAAAAAAAAAAAAAAAAAAAAGAGTTAAGATTGAAGTCACTTGACATGTGTGCAACATATCCTTCTTGTTTTATCACCCATATGATAACATCACATGATCACATCACTATTTTGTATGTAGGTGTTACTCTGGGATAAAAAGAACACAGAAGAAAGAAAAAGAATAATAAAGAAAACCATAGCGTAGCGCTATTGAGCATTTGAAAAAAGATGGGCAGATAAAGAAATCCAAGTATGCGGAACACGAGATGAGATTACAGCCATGAAGAAGAGCGGGCCAAGAGTTATGAAAGAAGTGACTTCATGATGGAGTAGCTGGAGGATAATTTGTGGCTTAGGCTAAGAGTCGGTGGGCTTCCCAACTCTTGGGTGTGGCAGAGATCGCCTTCTCTTTTATCCTCTTCAGAACCACCAGTATTCTTGTTTCGGACCACTTCGATATTTCCAAACCAATTTCTGTATTTTGGAGATTGAAAATGCTTTAGGAACTAAATAGAGGAACTAAATAACATGCCAAAATATATATATAGATTTTTTTTTGTTACAACAATTACTTTCTAACCTATTTCTACACTGTGAGAAAAGGGGAAGGACTCAATGGTTTGACAAGGGAGCAAAGAGGGGAGGAAGGCACCTTCTTCAATCCAAACTAAAGCATTAGTGCACTAGTCAAGACAAATTCCAAGAAAATCCCAAGAATAATGCAGGCTACCTAAGAGGGACTCAAGTCCTTCGTGATGGTCACTAGATCAAGGTCTTGGAAGACAAAATATAGAGTAGGAATTCATTCGAATCTATGATGTCGTCGACAGATTTGATGTGTGGATCTTCTCTTGAATTTTTGTCACGGCTTGCTTTTGAGGGAAGCCCGTCTCAAAATTTATTATTGAACTAGATAAAAGATTACCTAACCAAAGCCCATAAAAAGCTTCATCAATCATCAGTAAATGCTTCACCGGATTAAATAGCACCGGACATCAACTAATAATAATGGCCCTGTTTGGAACGTAGGTTTTTAAGCAAGTTTGTTTGCTACTAGTTTTTTAACAACTTTTGCTACAGGAACCCCAAAAAACTCTACAAAACTTTCTTGGAATGGTCTGAAACTTTTAATGAAACTGCGTCGTTTTGGGCAAAAACTCAAAAACTCAAAAAAAAGTCTGCCCGTCCTCGCGTCTTCGTCAACTCAAAGAGTGCTAGGTTCTTCCTCAGCTCAACGCACAGAAGGCAGGCTTCCTGTTGCTGAATCGCAGGTGAACAAGCTAGATCGTGTCGCTGGTAGGCTGATAAACCCAAACACAAGCTACGGACGAGGTTGTTCTACACTTCTGTACTGGTGTAGCAGTCTCGCTGGTGCCGACCTTGGAGTAGCATTTTCATTTTCATCGGTCGACACTTGCTGAAGTCCGGCAAGAGCCTTGGGTGGCTGATAGTAGTGTCGTCCACCACGGTGAGCTCTGCAACAGCTACCCTTCTCCGGCCGCTACAAAAGCCCTCTACTTTCAGGTGCATAACTGGTAGAACTGAACTCTAAGATTAGCTCGGATGCTTGATTTTTCTTTTTTTTTTTGGAGCGGCAGCTTGCTAAAATGACTGAGCAGTCGCTTGTCCTAGTACATTTCTTTCCATGTGGGTAATTTTTTTTAATTGGTGGGATTGTTGCTAATTTTTATGGCCTTTGCGGTACATTTGTAATGTTGTGGTCAACTACTTGTGAATAATTTCAGTTGAAGCCAAGAGAACTCTGTGTGTAATTATTTGTAAAAAAATTGCTACTGGTCAGATCTTATACTTAAATTAGATGCTTTTTAATGGAAATTATCTTATGACACGGGATTTAAGTATGAATTATGAAGACAAAAATAGTTCCGGTTTGGCCATGATTTGGTGTTTTTCCTGATTACTTGAGTTTTTTGTAATCTGTTGGATGGACCATCATAATTGACTCTTGTAATGGAAAAAAGGCGAAAGCAAATCTGGTATTTTAGTTAGGAATATGTGTTGGTTTAGAGTGGTTGAATGGCCATTATTTCCCTGTAAGATCATTTTCCAATATTTGGAATTCATTTCTGGTTTAGAGTGGTTGAGGCTTGTGTAAGTCGCACCTCCTAGATGTTGTGTGTATGAAATGGGCATGTTGTATGTATGGAACTTCCAAGTTTTCGAACTTTGCACTATTTCTTGGTTTTTCTATTGCATTTTGTTCACGGAATTCATACTAGAGGTTGGTCTATTAGACATCATATTATTATTTATTGGCCCTGTAGCATGCAATTAATTTCATCAGGATGAATCTGCTATTGTATATACTGGTACTTTGAGAGTAATTTCCTTTTTGCAGCCTATAAATAGCTTTTAAATTTTCTGGAGTTACTTGAGTATTTGTTGCTTGTTGCCTGTTTAGTTGGTTGCTTTTTCTTGGGCCAGCAATGGTACAAATTTCTACAGCTTAAACTAGCGAATAAGATGGACTTGCATGACAACATGAGATTTAATCATGTCAATAAGTTGTTTTTTATCGCCAATATCTGGTCTTAAATGTTTGTTTTCCAGATGAAGATGTCAATATCTGTTTACATATGAGTACAGTTTGTGTTGTTTGACCATTTCTTTTAGCTGTAAAAACACTGGTTCTGGATATTAAGATGCTTTTTTCTTCTATGCACAACCCTATCGGTTCGGTCCAAGCAATGCCAAATGCTAATGTGTCTTCACCGTGATTATATACCATGCCAAATGCTAATGTGTGTGCTGAATTGATTCGTTATATACTATGGCAGTTTGACATGGAATTGACTGGAAATAGCTATCTTGGTTGAATGTGGAATTTTTCGTTTCTTTCTTTAGCTCATTTTTCTGTTTTTTATAGCGCAGTGGTAATTTGGTGCTTATTTCCAACATGACTTATCATAGCCATACATTCTTCTGTCCACAGGTTTATGCCGCCGCGCACTAGATCCATTTCTAGAGGTTTGTTTTGTGGTTTTTTTTTTCAACTTGCATGTCGGATAGTTAAGAAATGGACTAGCTAATTTTCACTTTCGCTAACAGTAGCAAAACTCTTACTTCCTGATCCTGTTACTACTGTTTGGTCCGAGTGTGGAGAGAACAACTTACAGCTTTGTATCACCAATTACTTCAAGGTATTCTATAACCAGTCTCTTTTGCTTTTCGGATATATAAGAGTTAACTATTTTGTGTATCCTGAGTTGGGATTGGCTGTCCTAGTTGTTCTTTGCTATTATTTACACGTGATTCACCGGTGTTAATACTCCTATTGCTATATATGCAATAAGAGAATCCATACATAAATATCTGTATAAGATTTCTATTTACTTTCATTGGGGCTATAGATAAATTACTGTTTATTTTTTCTTGGGCTATACATATAAACTACTTGCATTGGATGCTATAGATGCCTTTCAATTTCTGTTTAGCTTAATTGCCAAGTTTCGCTAATCTATTTTCCCTGCATAAAGTGTAAAAAATCAATGGCTGGTAAGGTTGGTTCATCAAGGCAAGGTCGCGCCCAATTTCCAATGGAGCGAGAACTTGAATTTGCGGAGTACTTGGTTGAAATTAAACGGGATAATAGAATGAACAAGGGCAACTTAAAGAGCGAGGTCTTCCCGGCAATTGTTGATAAATTTGCCAAAAAAGGATGCCACTTTGACAAAAATCAAATCAAGGCGAAGTATTATGCATTAAGGCATCTGACACAAGAATACAATCGCATGCGATTGAGGGTGACTGGGGCCGGATGGGATCCCCTCCTCCAGACTGTAACCATGGACGAAAGCAAATGGCAAGCTATTATTAAGGTAGAAAATTAATTTTTTGTATTTCATTACATAAAGTGAAATGGCAAGCTATTATTAAAATGGCAAGCTTATAAAGTGAAAAAACTGTTTTTTTAACATCCTCTAATGGTACATTTTTGGTGTTAAATGTGTAGGAGAACCCATCTTTTGAGACTTTCCATAACAAAGATTGCCGTGTCTTCTACATGTTATCGGAGGTGTTTGACAAAATGGATGCCCAAGGCCGATATGCAAGGGACTCAAATCAGCCACCAGTTGACATCAATGATGAGATAAGGGTGAGGCAAAGTCAAGCATTGAACAATATGGGTGGCCAGAGCATGGAGCACGTGGACCTGACTGATGAAATGATCTCTCCTATGGCTCCAACTGGAAAATCAGATGCCAAACATTCAAAAAGCAAAGGCAAAGGGAAAAGGAAGACTCCGGAATCTTCATCCGGCAGGGACACCGACCTCCCGCCTGGTCTAAGTCGCACCTCCTACAATAATGCCATATCTTGGATGGATGCGACATTTGCTTCCGATCGGAACACCTCCCAGACCGTAGATGCCCCAGCACCCCCACCTGCTGCTACTCCAGCTCCTCCTTCTCCGATTTACGTGGATGATGACCCTTTCAGCCCTCTAAAGGCAGATGCAGCCTTAACCAAAATAGAAGGCTTGCCCGAGAAAGTATACATTAAAGCAGCTGTGAAGTTGGCTGATTCCGCTGACCATCGGAAGATGTTTTTGAGTCAAAAGAGTGAAGCTAGGATGCGGTTATATGCAATGACTATTGGGGGGGGTGAAATAGATGATTAAGACCTGCATGTGCCTCGAGGTTCATCACCAGTTGGAAGGCCATAAGTTTGCATGTTTTAATGTAAAATATTTGTATTCGTGGTTGTACGATGCAGGTTTTCCCTGTTGGGAAACGAACTTGCACTGTGGTTGTCTTATTTCATAGTTTGGATCATTTTAAGACGATTTGAGAAACTTTCAGTATTTCGGATATGCATTTTTTAGAAAATTAATAATAAATAGGATTTCTACTTTAATATAAGCGTTGCTTCACTAGTTCACATATTCTTAGCTTTTCAGCCATGAAAGGCCTTATCCTGTACTCTATTTCCCCATGCAGGTGTTTTGTCTATACAGAGGATAAATGGCTAGCGCTCCGCCCAATTTTGGAGTAAATTTAGATGACCCAGAGGATGCAAGGAGAGCCGCAACAGCTGTGTTGATTCTACAGTGGCACTTTCAAACCCATCGAGTTCCAAGGACAAGGCAGCTAGTCCATACGAGTGCTATGACTGGTCAGGGTTGGGTTGAGGACCTACTGGGGGGAAAGTGCATTAGGATGCTTAACAACATGCGCATGGATGTGGCCACATTTATTCAACTATGTCGGATAATGCGAGAAGGTGGATACATTATTGAGGGTCCCTGTGATAAAGTGACAGTAGAGGAAAGCGTAGCAATTGGGTTATATGGGTTGAGCCATGATTTGACACAAAGAGTGCTAGGTGAACGATTCCAGCATTCCACTGAGACAATTCATCGACATGTTCGCCGTCTATGCCAGGCCTTAGTCCAATTAGCACCTATTGCACTCCGACATAGGAATACAGATACTACTTATCCTCGGATTCGGAATAATAGACGATTGTATCCTTGGTTTAAGGTACGTGGCCGAATCTTAAAACTCATAAGTTATATTAGATAGATAATTTACATTCAAATGCAATATGTAGGATTGCATTGGCGCTATAGATGGAACACATGTATCGGCAAGCGTGCCAAGAGGGGAACAGGATGCCTTTCGTAACAGAAAAGGCACGCTTTCACAGAATGTTTTAGCTGCATGTGACCACGATATGAGGTTCGTATATGTCAGAGTTGGCTGGGAAGGAAGTGCCCATGATAGCCGCGTCTTATTGGATGCTCTTTCCAATCCGGATGCAGCATTTCCCGTACCACCGGCTGGAAAATATTACGCGGTTGATGCAGCCTACAGACACATGCCAGGATTCATGGCGCCTTTCAAGAGTGGTCCAGGAGGGAGATCACAGACTGCACAGAAAGGATTATTTAATCGCCGTCATTCTTCGGTTCGGAACATAATAGAGAGGACGTTTGGGGTATGGAAAATGAGATTCAAGATTTTGGATGGACCAATGAAAAACTATCCTATTGAGGCACAGAGGAACATTGTAGTGGCATGCTGTGTACTGCACAATTTCATTAGGGAGATGCAGCCATACGACGTTTACTTGACCGATGAAGCGAATATGGAAGGCGCAGATACCGAAGGAGCTCAAATGCAACAATTCCATGTTACTCCAGAAGCAATCCATGATTGGAAGGAATTACGCAATGCAATGGCTGATCACATGTACTTTCATCGAAATGAGTAGTATATGGTTGCCACGCTTGATTTCCACGTAGCCCTAACTAATTTCAATTGTATAATATGACTCTTTTTTAATATTTGGGATGAATATTTGGTACTGTAAAAATTTAAGCCTTCTGGTCAAGGTTGGGTTAACGGATTCCTTTTCCACTTGAGTGAATGTAATATTTTCACAACTTGTCCAAATTATTTTGTTATAACAAATTATTTGCATACAGGTGTGAGAATTTATATTACTGTGAAATATAAGAAAAGTTCCATGTGTATTTTTTTAAAAAAAATTTTAGAACAAAATCACCATAAATTCTCACAAAATCTAAGGTCCGGCAAAATTGCTTTAAGGTGACAATTAAAAAATGAAAATAAAAAATTGATCTCAATACGATCCTAAATCACGTCTACAAAAGGGGTTATGGATAAACTTAAAAATCGATCGGGAAGGACGTCCAAAATTTAGACAATATGATTCATTTATTACTACAATCAATCTAGTTCATTCTCCTGATAAGTTCATTGATATAGTCTTCACGGTTGCCAGCATCGCCTAGTGATTTCTCTTCTTCTTCAAGCCACTAAGAGGTGCCATAAGTTTGAATGGCCAGAGAAAATTGTTTGCTACTAGTTAAACTGAGGTCTAACTGTCAGGATCTCATGGGCAAGGTCAAATGCAGCTAATACCATGTTTTTAATAAGCCCGTTCAATGATTGAGTTGTCAATTAATGCAATTCTCTGCTTGTTTACCTTGTCATAGCCTCTCTTGTAAATCAATTCCTTAACACTCTTCAAGTTGGGTATCCATAAGCAACATAAGGCTCAAGTCGGTGTAGCATATTCAGCATTGCCTTGTTAACCTTTAAGAATACACCATTAAATATCTGTCTCAGGTGCAGAAGCTGCAAAATCTTCTTAGTCATTGGATGCATAGCATTGATACCTCGAATGCGAACAATGAAAAGCAACTTGGCTTCCGGGTTGAAAAAAATGTAATCCTAATTTTGATACAGTAAGAGCACAATTTTTGGAAAAAGGAACAAAAAAATGTAGGGAGGAGTTTTTTTTATAAAAAAAAATTTGTAAAAAAATTGCTACACTTTTTGTAATTTGTAAAAAAAATAAAAAATTGCTACAGTAAAGTTTTTAAAAAACTTTATACAATAGTAAAGTTTTTTCTACTACTTCTACAGTGATCTACAGTAAAGTTTTAGACAAACTCCCAAAAAACTCAGGTTCCAAACGGGCCCAATGTTCCTTAGGCAAATCCGTTAAATTGTAGATTTGTTATTTCTAGTGCGTGTTTAATTTGTCGTATTAAAATAATGACGTAAATTAAATTGTGCTGAATGATTTCTAAATGTCCCTAATAAAATTTGCATTTGTAAAAAAGAAAAGTCCTTTGGGGACAGCCAAAAAATTACCATTTATAGAGAAGATTAGTTTAGTCCCTATGCAATTACGACAGTCGAGAAATAGTTTGATTTTCTTTTGACAATTCTGCCCATACTTCTCGCGGGTGATGTTACAAAAATACCCATTTCTGACTCCTCATAAAAATGGTATGCTGCACAACTTGGCTTCCATAGGGATCTGTAAAGTGTAATTACTTTTAATTAATTTAAATGGTTTCTCTGTATAATTTGTTTTATTTTTTATCGGACTTTTTTTTCCGAGTTTCTCATCTAAGTTGATGTGATTAAAATTAAAAAGAACAAATTTTGTTTGAATACTTGTTAAAAGATTGAAGATGTAAAGTGAATTACTTTTTTTTTTTTTTTTTGGTTATCAAAGAGAGCTAAGCAGCTCAGTACAAAGTGAATTACTTTACCTCACCCATTAGCCCCCAAATACCGTGTCAATTTTGGAAAATTGAAATAAGTAACTTGATTATAATCTTCAGAAAACCTATCAGAATTTGATTAATATGTATCAACTTCATAATTTTGTCCTGTACATAATAAGTTTACCTATCTCGATTGAAGATTATTTAGAGAAAAAATTTTCTCTTTGATGCAAGCAAGCGATTAACAAAAAGAAAAAAAATGTGATTGAAAATAATTTTTTTAAAAAATAATAATAATGAAGGGTGTTTTAAAAATCTTAAAAGAAAAATGCCAAATAATTGCTATCCAAACAAACTCAATAATGTTAGAAAGTTTTCTAACGTTTTGATTAATCAATATGTGAATTTCTTGACTACATTCTCTACATTATTAATAAGTGGAAATTAATTTCCATCTACTTTCTCCAAAATCTTTTTGACTACAAATGTAAAAGAGTTACAAGTTCATCAAAATCGCGGATGTAACAAAGCCCAAAGTGGCGTCCCTTGGGATGTAACTAAGGCCCAAGAGTGTCCCACATCGACTAAATAGCAGCTCCTTTAACTCTTTAAATACATCAGCTCCGCACGGACAAGACGTCCCTTCGGGGACATCCGATAAAATTGGAACGATACAGAGAAGATTAGCATGGCCCCTGCGCAAGGATGACACGCACAAATCGAGAAATGGTCCAAATTTTTTTTGACTATTCTGCCCATACTCCTCACGTGTCTTTTTACCGAAACACCCCCTCTCTTTTGACGATTCAAGGTCGGTGCACTAGATCTCAAGTGCACCCGTAATACGAGATAGCCCCGTCCCCAAATACAAAATCCTTGTAGTTGGAGAGTTTGGTGTTTATTTCAAAGGCGGCGGGGCGCTGAAATTCATCCGGAGAGTTTCTTCGCAGGTACACTTTCTGTTTTCCAGCTCCGATCAATTTCTTGAATATTTTTGTCGTAATACAAGCGAATTCTGATTTATTTTTTGAAAAAATGATCACCAAAACTCAAAAATTTCAAGTCTTTATTCAATCCCCTGAACTACAAATCCCAACCCAAGCTCTAAATTTCGAAAACCCTAACCCTAATTTCACTTTACAAGATCTCAAATCCTCTCTCTTCGCCAAAGCCCATCAAAATCTTAGCTCCCTTTACTTCACCTTGAATGGTAAACCCCTCTCTGATTCGACTAAGTTACCGAATTCCCAAATTGCCCCTCTTTCCACATTAACACTTCGGTGCCGCCTTCTCGGTGGCGGTGGAGATGGCGGCGCCACTGGGGCGGAATCCCGGGATTGTTACCTTAACATGTATGCTATTAAAAAGCCTGATAAAGTTGACCCGAATGAGACGAGGCTGTCGAAATGGCTGAATTGTGCGATTTCCAATGAGCCGTTGAAGCGGCCGGTTGTGATCGATAAGCTTGGGAATTTGTTCAATAAGGAGGCGTTAGTTGAGGCGTTGTTGATGAAAAAGGTACCTAAGGAGTTTTGGTATATAAAAGGTTTGAAGGATATGATCGCGGTCGAGTTGGATGTGATTCCTGGGTTGGAGGATGAGAGAGGGAGTCGGACCGGGGCAAAGTTTCAGTGCCCTATAACGGGGTCGGAGTTCAATGGGAAGTATAAGTTTTTCGCGTTGAGGTCATGTGGACATGTGCTGAGTGCGAAGGCATTGAAGGAGGTTAAGTCGTCAGCATGTTTGGTGTGTCATAAAGAGTTCTCTGAAAGTGATAAGATGCCGATCAATGGGAATGAAGAGGAAGTGACGGTTTTGAGAGAAAGAATGGAAGCAGAAAGGGTTAATATAAAGGATAAGAAGG